ACTCACCTCAGCCTCCCAAGGCGCGGGATTACAGGCTGAGCCACTGAGCCCAGCTTAAACCATTCTTTAGATTCACTCTGAAATTCTTTTCTGTGACAAGTCAAAAGAATCCATGGGGTATCACACTGCACCCTCCCCAGCATCAAAACCAGATCCTGAACTCAAAGATCCACTCAAGGTACAGACACCTATGGCCCTATCCCCATCCTAAAGAACCTAAAAGTGACAGCCTTCACACCCTTTTTACTGCAATAGCTGGACATGGCTAGCTCAAGAAGGAGTTAAAGTTAAATGGCTAAGGTTAAACTCTCACACTGTCATCTACTCCCGACATCTGTCATTTTCCCAGACCTTGCTAACTATCACCATGCCAATTATGTGCCAAATATATCTTCTCTGTCTACCTCCCTCAGCCTTACAGATCCAGGTCAAATGCACCTCCTCCTCAAAGCATTCCCAAAGGTGTCCTGTCTGTGAACATCCAGCAGTGTCTGCTGAAGGCCATACCCTGGAATTCTGTGCCATTCATGTGGCATCAAATCTCAGATCGCTTGGAGTCACCTCTCCCCTACTGTCTTCTTAAATCATTTTAAAAATTTACATTGCTCAATTTTCTGTCTTCTCCCTGCAAACAGACTAAAATCTCTTTGAAACTTTGAGCTTCTTCATGTGCCCACAGAGTCCAGCACAAAGTAGATATTCAGTAAGCCCTGTGCTTATTGGTTGGTATCTTTAAAAGATAACATTAGAGGCTTTGAAGAAAGAAAAAAAATCCTCAACCTCCTCTCCATCATCCCTTAGAAACTAACTGTTTAAAAGGGTAATTTTTTTTACCAATTTCTATAAGTCCCATACTATAAATACATTAACTCAAAGTACAAGGTTAAAAATGAAGAAAAAAGAGGTATATTTTTTCATTGCTAACTCTTCATTTCCAGGACTTCTATTAAGCACAGATATTAAAGAACAACTGGGAGAGCTGTCAAAAAATAAGCTCAAAACCTATTGTTATTCTATACATTTTGTTCTGACAATCAAGAGAAAACTAGTTGTATTCATAAATAGGAGGCTTCTTCCGCCTTTTCTCCATCTCAGGGAAGCTGTCCCCTCTGAGTTTATAAGAAACAGAAGAACAAGGTAGGGTAAGAAGGCATAAGAGCAATATGCTGGCAAAAGGGTGTCCACATCAGACCACTCCATTTGCCGGCAGAAGGGTGGGTCACAGAGACCTTTGCCTAAATGCGCAGTTTCCCCCTACAAAACCAATGCCAAACCCCATTCCTTTTTCCTGAATGTTAGCTTTGGGAGATTCTTCAGAGGTCATCCAATCTAGAGCTCAAATGGAAAAAATGAGAAAACTGTGGCCCAGAGAGGTGCTGTCACGTGGTGTACCCACAGTGACAGCCAAGACTCCAGCTCCCAGCACAATCTTCTTTCACTGTATCAGGATTCCATTTCACTATTTCAGAAAAAAACAAAGTCATTTCAGATTTTTTTTTGTTCCAGCCCACTCTATACTTCATTCATTCATTCAAAATTCAGTTACTGATCCTCTGTTACATGAGAGTCACAGTCCCGGGTATTTGAAATACAAAAATAACAAACACCATGCCTCCACCCAGCTTACACAGCCTATTCCTTATGTTATAGAGTGGTTGGCAGAGGAGGAAAAGGAAGAAAAGACAACTGAGATATGGAGGGGAAAGGAGGGAAGTGAGCCCTACTCTTTTTTCTTTTATAGTTTATAATTTTAAAAATATTTTTTCTTATATATGCTGTATATTTCAAACACTATAAAATTCCCCCATTTAAAGTTCCCATTGTTTTTAGTATACTCATAAAGTCATGCAACCATCACTGTAATCTAAGTTTAGAACATTTTCAACAACCCAAAAAGAAACGCATACACATTAGGAATCACTCCCCTTCCCCTCACCGTCACCTCAGGTAGCCACTAATCCACTTCCTGCCACTATCAATTTGCCTATTCTGTATATTTCATGTAAACAGAATCATACACTATGTGACCTTTTGTGTCTGGCTTCTTTCACTTAGTCTAATGTTTTCAAGATCATCGTGTTGTCGTATCTACCTGTATTTGATTCTTTTTTGTGACTGAATAGTATTCCATAATAATCATTCTGTTTTCATCATCTCAAAGTTTATATCAAAAGGCATACATCACCTTTGGGAGGATTATATTACAAAATATGAGGTTTAGGGGGAAATAAATCCTGTACCCATTTTCATCCTTTTCTAGGCAGTTGTTTCAAAGAATCACCATGCAGTACCTGACCAGATCCATCCCCAGTAAGGCTTCTGACTCCGCAGCTGGTTCTCTGGTGTTGACGGCTTCATTGGCTATGCATACACCGTGTTCATTGGCTCCCATTTCTGCCCCCCAGAGCCAGGCAGGTCTGCTTATCATTATGGCATGGGTCCTCGGAACTTGGTCGATTGAAATGTAAGTACACTAAAAAACGAAGACAGGAAAGAACACCATCACCAGTCAGGTACCACGTCGTTTCCACTTTGGTACTTACACTGAACCATCACATCAGTTACAAACAGGGCCAAAAATTAAAAGGCCTTGGGAACGCCCCAATTTAAAAAAAAGACACCCCAGTCTCAATGCAGCCCAAAGGTCTCCACAGTGAGTTCCAGTCTCTTTGGTTCAAGCCAATCTACTCCTCATGCTTGCAAAAAATGGTGATCATCTTGAACTAGGATTTCAATCAATCATCACCTGAACATCCTGTGCCCCCACATTTCCACAGACAAAGATGGCTGCCAGCATTCAAATGAACACAGCGATTTACAAGTCCTATCTTCAAAAGAAACTTTTCTGTGTGCCAGCAGCCTAACACAGAAAACAGATAAAAGGGAAGATGCTTTGTCTGAGGAAGGCAGGTCCTGAGCCTCCTTGCAAGGATCCCTAGGGTTTCTGGTACACAGTTTAACGACCTACATGATTGCTCTAGTGGTGGAAAAGGAAAAATGATAACAATGTTCACGTTTAACTATTACATTACAATGCATACTCTCTTGCACTGTGCTTTCCTGTCTGTCCTATTTGATTCTCACACTAAGCCAGTGCGGTAAACACAGAAGGAAACAGTCCCACAGAGGTGTATCTCCAGCTGCTATCAGAACTGCAGTACACACCACTTAGAGTTCACATCTTACATTCTCCAGGGTGCCGTGTCTTTACCTGGAAAATAAGGAAGCTAATCTGGGTCAAACTATTTCTTCCAAAATATTTTTAACCTCAGCTCCTTTCCTTCACACAAACTCTTACATAGACACATAAACACGATAAAACTGGTCAATGCGTGTTGAGGCAAAGGAAAAAAGAGGCATGGGACCGGGGGGGGGTAACCCCCAGAGCCCTGTCTGCCTGTACTTCCTTTACCCTCCTCACATTGTGGGCCAGAGCAGTTGAAAAACCAAACTAGGTTATCCATAGGGGCCTCCTGACTCCGACATTCCGTGAGCCTATAACACAAGCTTTGTGTGGTGGGTGCAAGATGGGATTCAGGGCTCTAAGCTCCACAAAGTGTTTGTGCTCTCAAGGGAGAACTTTATCAGCTGCAGCAGTCATTTGCATTTTAAATTGGATAGCTGACAGCCACTGAAGCCTTAGATCGCTCTCTCTATCCTTTTTTTTTTATTCAAGACCCAGCTTTATTGACTGAATGCAGCTCAGAAAGTGATTCTGCATTGATTTCCCAAAACCTCTAAACCTCAGGTAAAAGCTGAAATACATGTAGCGCTATACTCATTGGTCAGGTGACTTCTGATCTGCACAATTCATGTAAGGTGTTGCTCACCACTGGTTTCATATCAATTCACTTAATAAATATTTGCAAACTGAAGCTAATTAGCCTGGAGGTTGTCAAGAGGCTTGAATTTTTCATGGCAAACTGACAATAAAATATACTCTTGAGATGTTTTCCCCTATGCAGCTCCCAAAAGTTATGTATTTTAAAAAATGATTCTTGTAGAGCAAAAAGCCAGCCAAAGTAGTAACCAATGCTCCTCTCTGTGCTCTTCTGAGTGGAATTAAAGTTTATATCTCCTGTTTTCACTCTTCCATGCAAGAAGGGAGTCTGGGATTTGACCAACACTTTCTCAAACCCTGTCCCCACTGAACACCAGTGACAAATTTTGTCCTGAAAAGAATAAGTAAATAGGTAGGGCATCTCAGCTTTTAAAGCACACATTTATTACAGAGTTTTTTAAAGGGGCAGGAAAAAAGTAAAAGTAGAAAATTATTTGTTTGTCCTGAAATTCATTTTTACACATTCATTTCCATTTGCCCATTTTTTATAGAGCACCAACTACACCCAAGGCATTCTGTGCTGAATGCTGCAGGCAGAAAATCAGTGAGAGTGCCCAGTCCCTATCCTTTCTGTTGGACAGGAAGGAGAAGGCACCACACAAATTACTGTGACTGACAGGACAACTTTGATGTCAATGGGATCTGTCTCTTTCTTACAGCATCTTGTTCCCTCCTTCCACCTTGCCTTTCTGATCAACCCTATTCTGCTTTTTCTTTTTCCCATTCCATTCTCTTGATCCCCTTCTGAAATATTATATACTGTAACTGATTTACCACATGTATTGTTTACATATGCCATCTCCTTCAGCTACGATGTAAACGGACATACCCCAAGACCAGTACACTCCAGGCATCAATAAACCCTTTTTTGGATGGATGGATGGATGGATGGATGGATGATGGATGGATGGATGGATGGATGGATGGACGGACAAACAGACAGATGAATGGACGGGCAGATGGATAAATTACAAAGCTCTAAGGGACCATGATAAACGTCCAAAGGAAAGAAGAAACATCCCAGTGGCCAGAGGCTTTACCAAATTGGAGACGTGAATACATCTTGAAAAATGGGTCAGACATCAAGGTATTCTAGACAGAGCTAAGAGCATGAGAAAAGAGAAGTGAGCATGTCAAAGGTGTGTTCGTGGTCCAGAGAGGTCCCCAATGTGCCACATGGGCAGCTCCTGCGATGACACTGGGGAACAGAACTACAAGGGCTTAATGCAGACTGCCTAACAAAAATGTTGACAATGGAATCAAAAAGACCAGATGGTCTTTGTGGGGGTTCAAAATATATGCAGCTAGCTTGATGCTTTTCAGGCCAATCTCAGAATGATGAGGAAGGAAGGGGGTCCCCAAGAAGCCAGATGGGCCAAATCAGCCCCTCCCAAGCGCCTGCTGAAACCCATGCCGCCAGATCCTGTTTACACTCCTTGAGCCTGCAACACATGCCTCTTGCGGCATCTTTGTCATGAGCCACAGAGCAGGGTCTAACAAGGCCCTTCTGTGACTGCTATTCATGCCTGCTCCATTGTGTTTTAAATCTGAGTAATCACAACCAGGTGGGGGTGGGGGAAAACTAAACATACTTGTCTCACAAAGGTTGGTTATTTAAAATCCCACTGCGGGAGTAGATCTCACAAAATAAGGAACATTCACACAAGATGTAATTAGCTAAACTTGGGAAAGTCAGCCATCTAGAACATGAACTCCACAGGCAGTCTTTTTAACAATAAAATCCACCAACCTTTGCAATTGTCACATTATCAGTGAGGCAGACAAGTGGGATTTGAGATAGCAGAGGAGGTTCCACCAGGGAAAAATGCCCCCAAATTACCTGAAATCGTCTTTCAGCGTGGCAAAAACAATTAAGTGCCCCAAGTAAAAATTCCCAGCCAAATTTCTATTAGAAAAAAGAAAGTGTACCCCACGTAAAAAAATTCATCTTCATGGATATGCTTCTGGCCTCAGCCTCAGTAGTTAAGCTGTTAAAGTGAACTGTACAGGCAAGAGATGAGCAATTGGTCTTGTGGTCCCAGCCGCTCCCACCTGGCCTTTCAAAAACAAAGCTGGCAGCTAGTGTGACTTCTGGTTGCCAAGGTCACGGTGCCACGTGAGTGCCCAGAGAGGGGGTGTGGTGAGGCCTACTTAACAGCAGCACTGCCCAGCACTAATCATGGGTTTCCAAGGAACTGCCTGCTCTGGGCTCACCCTTCTCCCAGGGGGCCGCCTGCCAGGTTGGAGGATAGAATGGTTGAGCCTTGAAAAGACGCTGGAGACAAAGACAAAAACAGTTCTTCTGCAGAGCAAGCCCTTTATTATTTTGTGAGATTGAGTCAAAAACGAAAAGCAAGATCAGCTTCACACTGTCGCCTGCCCATCACATTCCAGCATACGCTATTTCTGGACCTCACCCAGTGAAAGGGGGAACAGAGATGCTCACACAATGGACGTTTCAATTAGTGAAACGCAACCATTGTGCCTTTGGTACTGTACTCAGATGGTGAACACAACCCTGGCACCACCAGCGAAAACCATTGTGAGATGAGTTGATGAGTCAGCCAAGCTGCTCGGGGTGGGGGAAAACGGCAGGGAAAACAGGATGCTTTCCAGAAATAGTTTTAGCTTTAGAAAGTTTGCAACTCTAACGCAACATTGCTAATGATCACTGAGGGCTTTTGTTTGTTTTTAATTTTTTATAAAAATTTTGTGTAGAGACAGGGTCTCATCATGTTGCCCAGGATGGCCTCAAACTCCTGGCCGCAAACAATCCTCCTGCCTTAGCCTTCTGAGTTGTTGGAACTACAGGTGCATGCTACCACATATGGCTTGTTTTTAATTTTTTTACTGCAGTGTCTTGTCTGCTGTTTAATTGGTTTTAGAAAATGTGTTCTTTTTTTTTTTAAGTCGGAGTCTCACTCTGTCACCCAGACTGGAGTGCAGTGGCACGCTCCCGGCCACTGCAGCCTCAACCTGCTGGGCTCCGGCGATCCTTCCGCCTCAGCCTTCCAAGTAGCCGGAACTACAGGCGCGCGCTGCCATGGCCGGCTAATTTTTTGATTTATTGTAGAGATGAGGTCTCGCCAAGTTGTCTAGACTGGTCTCAAACCCGCAGGCTCAGGCAATTCACTCACCTCAGCCTCCCAAAGCACGGGGATTACAGGTTGAGCCACCGAGCCTGGTGAAAATGTGTTCTTAAGATTCATATGAGTCCACATAAAGACAAAAGAAGATGTTGACATTGGAGGGTAACACCCTGAAGCATATTTTGGAAGAACTACTTTTTGCTTCCCTGAAGCTTTAAGATCTTTGGGGAATGGGCAATGTAAATACCTGAAGTCAGAAACAGGTTTGGGAAAGGGGACATAAAGGAAGGAAGCCCTCCTCCACTAAGTCACTCTCTCATGAAAGTGAGGAAGACACTTCTGACCCCATACAAGTCTGGGGACGCCTCACCTTGGGGCTAAAGAAAAGAAAACAGAAAAACTGAAAGAATACTGTACAATCCATTCAGCAGTCACAGAGCTATGCTCAGCTCTCTCTGATTCCAGAATGACTTATGCTTTCCTACTCTAAGAAACAAACTTCAGAATTAAAATTCACACACCTATAGTTCCAGCTGCTTGGAA